CTCTATGATTCTATGATTCTATGAATAAAGAGAAGCCCACTAAGGAGCTGGGTGAGTGTCTGTGAGGATGCCTGGTGAGGGGGAGCAGGGTGAGGCTGTGTGCTGCAGCCGATCCTGGGGTACATTGGGGTTAAGGCTCCTTGGCACCCCTGTGAAACCCAAGTGAGCATTGGACTTGCGAACAGGTGGGAGAAGTGACAGCAACCCCCGAGAGGGGTTTTCCCTGTCTGAGCATCCATCCTGGCTGTCACTGATCAGCAGGAGCCAGGGAAGTGTGCTCAAGAGGAACGGTTTCAGGAGGTACTTCTGGGAATATCATCCTGAAACCACTGTCTCATACAGCTGGGAACCACAAATTTGGAAACACCCAGATTGCCCAATGCCCTGGCCGGAGCTGCCACCCACAGCCCTAGCAGCAATAAAAGGTGAGGGAGCAGGCGTATCAGCAGAGTCCTGTGAGGAGCACATCCCTGGGTACGGCAGCTGTCTACCTGCTGCAGAGATGGTGCAAGCGACTCCCTTCCTCCTGGTGCTCAGCCTGGCCCTGGTGGCTCCCAGCTTCTCTTCAAGAAAGGTAACGGCAGGGCTGGGATGCACGGGGCTGGGGGGCTTCTGCTCCTGGGGGCTCCCACACCCAGGCTCCCCTGTGGCACCAACACTGAGTCCCCTCTGCTCCAGTGCGTGCTGACTGGGAAATGGATCAACGACCTGGGCTCCAACATGACCATTGGGCCTATGAATGAAAAAGGAGACTTCTTTGGCAACTACACCACAACTGTGACGGTCAACAAGACTGAGACCCGCACATCACCGATGCTGGGGTCCCAGCACCTCACGAAGGAGAAGAGCCAGCCCACCTTTGGCTTCACTGTCCACTGGAACTTTACAGGTGCATCTCCATTCCCAGACTCCCTGTGGTGTGCCCACACCTGCCCTGCCCACCCTTCTGCTGTCCTTGGTGCCCTTCTGCCTTCCCCTGCAGTGTCCTTGGTGGTCCCCTGCAGTGTCCCAGTGCTCTCTCATCCCCTGTGGTGTCCCTGATTCTCCCTTATCCCCAGCAGTGTCCCCTGCCTCCTGTGCTGTCCCTGATACTCCCCTATCCTTGATGTTGGAGCTGCTTGGCTGGTGTCACCTCTCAGTCCAGGGCACAGAGGACACACTTGGGGCTGAAGCCTACTGCCATTTTGGTGGTCCCCTGCAGTGTCCCAGTGCTCGCTCATCCCCTGTGGTGTTCCTGATTCTCCCTTATCCCCAGCTGAAGCCCACTGCCCTCTGCCCATCTCCATGCCCCAGCCCTCTGGCTCCTCCTGCCTGCTTTCCCCATCATCGCTGTCCCCAGAGGGCAGGGACAGCCCAGGACTCCTGTCCCCTGTGCTGGGGCAGGCTGCCGGGCCATGGCCCAGCACTGACCTGCCACCGGGCCATGCTCACCTCCACCTTCCGCCCCGTCCCCCCAGACTCTGTTACTGTCTTCACCGGCCAGTGCTTCGTGGACGAGTTGGGGAATGAGGTTTTGAAGACCATGTGGCTCCTGCGGTTACCTGAGAACAACATCAATGACGACTGGAAAGCCACCATGTGAGCCGCCAGTCCCCGCTCTGCATGGGTCCCCTGTGCATCCCTGGGGGGTCAGGGCTCTCCCACCCCACCGCACCCAGCTCCCTGCAGAGCTGTGGCCAGGCTGGGGGTGACTGAGGTTGGGGTCCCCGTGTATGGCCTCCCCAGGGGTCCCACCAAGTCACAAACACTGCCGGGGGCAGGTTGGGGCTGGGTGGGTGTTCGGCGCTGGGAAGGTGCATTTGCCCTGTGCAAGGGGGCACTTCCCACCCCCACATCTCCTCCCTCTGTGTCCCCACAGGGTCGGCACCAACGTCTTCACCCGCCTGCACTCGCAGAAGGAGTGAGGGTGGCACCGTGGGGGTTCCCGGACCGGCAGCAGGAGCGCTGGCTGTGCGGCCCCCCTTCCTGCCCACCAGCTGCTTTTCCTAATAAAGCTTTGCTGCAAACACTCACCCGGCTCCTGCTGTGTCACGGCTCATTGCCCACGTTCCTCCGTCCCCCCCACGGCACCCATGCACTCTCTTGTCACTGTCCCCGAGGCCCAGTGTGTGCTCCCTGCCATGACACCCCTATGGCACAAGCTTCTCCTTCTCCACCAGCAGTATGAGCGGGTTCCCAAATGCTTCTCCAAATGGACTGTGAGGTTAATGCCTCAAGACCCCAGTGGGAGTGGGAGGATGAGGCAGGGGGGATCCCGTGGGAGGACGCAGTGCCATCAAGAACTACAGGGTACCAGGGAGTAAGATTTCCTTTCCGAGCTTTCATCAGCCCCACAGCTGCAAATTCCCTGTCTCTTGGAGTCTCCTGAAAAGGCAGCTGTTTTGATTGTAGATTATGTAAGCAGCCTACTTGATGAATAGGCAAAGAGAAACAGAAAGCAAAAGCACAGGGTTTACAAGAAGTCAGCACTGACAATGTCACTGCCACCGCACCCCAAGTGACGCTCGTCAGCTTCCCCAAACATCCTCCTCCCATCCGCTTCCCATATGGCCATCCTTCCACAGCTGTCCTGCACCGCAACAGCAACAGCCCACCCTGGCCTGCTCCTGCCCTGATGCTCACTGGCTTATTGCTCTCACTCTGCTCCTGCCCTGACATTCACTCTGCTGGTACATGCCCCCAAGCCTGCCCACCTCTGGCACACAGTGCCATGGGGTTATTGCTGTTGGGGCAGGTTTGCTTTCTTCGTCTGCCAAATCCCTGGAGCCACTGCAGATCACCAGCTGTCCCAGCACACATACCCTTGCCCTGTCTTTGTGACTCCCTGTCCTTCTGTCCATCCCCTGCAGTGACCGGGGGAGAGTTTGGGATGCACGAGCTCCTGCAGCACGGGGGTGAAGCATAGGCACAGCCCTCAAACAGGGGACACTTCGCCCCGGGCCAGGGACCCCCTGGGCTGGGCCATGTCACCAGACACCTCCAGTCAGCCCTGTCTACATCCCCAGTCCTGTCCCTGTGCCCATCCCCATCCCTGTCCCTGTGCCTGTCCCCATCCTGGTCCCCATCCCGGTCCCTGTCCCAGTCCCCATCCCCGTTCCCGTCCCCATCCTGGTCTCTGACCTGGTCCCCATCCTTATCCCTGGCCCCTCCCTGTCCCCATCTCCATCCCTGTCTCCATCCCCTTCCCTGTCCCTGTCCCCGTCCCCATCCTGGTCCCCATCCCTGTCCCTGTCCTGGTCCCTGTATCTGTCCCCATGCCCCTCCCCCTCCCTGTCC